CCAGTCGGGGGGTGGGCAGAGCTCGCGGAACCTGCACGCGGAGGGAGCGGGCCCCTGCCCCCAGCCGAAACCAGCAGGCAAGGCAGACCGCCGCGCTCCTACCCAACCCCTAGCCCCAGGGGGCTCTGGGGGGCGCGAGTATACCTAGTCTTGAGCGGGCAGCCACCCGCTGCGGCCGAGCAAATTGGAGAGAGCGTGCGTGGGAGGAGAGTCCACGAACCCGGGAAGAGTTCGGTCTCCACCCGAGGTGGAGCCGCGTCTCCCGTGGGCCACCTGGGGGCTACGGGGCCCGGGCCGCTCTGGCTCCTGGGCCCGGGAGAAACGGGAGGCCGCGGCCAGGGGTAGGGGCGCAGACGGGGGCTGCTGATCGGAGGCCGGTGTGGGGCGAGGGGTGCAGACAGGGGTCCTGAGTCCGCTCAGGCCCGGGTGAGGGGAAATGCGATTTCGTTTCAGCCGGTTTCTCCCAGCGTTTCCTGTGCTGTAGCTTCCTGCGTAGTAGAGGAACGAAGACCAAGTTTTCCTCGGCTCTTCGCCTAGCCAGCGCCGATCCACACCCTCCCCCGGCGATTTCCTTTTCTGGCTTTACATTTTCCCCCTCGGAGTGAATTGGATCCTACCTGATGAAGGGGGGAAAAAAGAGAAAAAAGAAAGATTTTTCTCTCCTCAAGGAGGGAAAACAACATTAGTTTGACACGATTAGATAGTGCACCTGAGCGGCTTGTCTGGACATTCCGTCAAATCGTTATAAGTCGTGTAAAATTGAATTTCTTTTTATTCAGATGGAAACTTTATTTGTTTTAACTCTAATCTTATTTGCATCTATTATCTGTATTCACCAAGGCTCTCTCCCACTACAAAAATGCAGATGAAGTAAATCTTACATAAATCCCGCCCATTTGTGTAATTGGTATACTAAGTGTTTATTTTAAGTGAGAATAATTTAGCTACAAATTTTCTTAAGGAATAACATTCTTAACACATTAAAAAAACTGAAAACTCTGATTTGCTTTTATGTTTGACAGTCGCTCTTGATTCCCTTAAGAGGAGCTTGGCGAGTGCGGCTCGCTGGCGCCATCTAGAGCTCCGGGCCGGGAAGGCCGCGCTGTCCGCCCTTGCTCGCCGCTTCGAGCGCGGGGAGTCGGCGTTTGCCGCGAGCTGCAGCAACCCTGCGAATCGAGCAAAGAAAAGCGAGTTTTTGTGCTTCGTGAGGGACAAGCCCCGCTACTGGGCGGCACTGCTTAGTAATGGCCGGTAGTAAATGCTCCCAGACAAAGGAAGTCTTTTCTGGAACTTGCTTACTGAAAATCCAAACAAAACAATATAACGCCCTGCTTGGCCCTAGTCTTAGAATTGGCGCATTTAGCATTTCCTTCAAGGCAACTTCAGGGTCTTCCAACTTGGAGGTGAGCACGCTGGGCCCTGTTGGCGGCGACGTGAACCCCGGCATGGGGACCCGGCAGTGGCTGCAGCGCCCCCGCGCTCTTCCCCCAACTACCCGGATCCGAAGGCTCCCGGTCGGCGGGACCCACGTGGGTTATCTGGGACCGACCGAGCCAAGCTGATTAAACCAGGCAAGCAGACCGTCTCAGGTCCACAGGCCCCCCTGTGAAGGGGAGGAAGCGAGGGTCACGCAGTTTTCTCCAGCCTGGACCCGGGGATGGCCGAAGCAGCCTCCTGCCTCGCCTCTGTCCTCCAGGCGCCGTCCCGCCCGAGTCGGGTGCTGGGGGTTGCTGGGCAGGCCGGGGCCCTGCGGGGAGCGCAGGGCCCCCTAGGGCTGCCAGAAGTCCGGAAACCCCTGACCCCAGACCCTTGCGAAGGGTCCGCACTCCCTGCCGGCGCAAACTGACCCCTTTGGCCCCCACCTTTTCCCTTTGAAACCCAAATCTAAAATCGGATAACACTTGGGGGCGTTGACCAATTTTCTCTCCACTCTGCCTCGCCCTCCTCCCGCCGCCCCTTTCCCTCCTCTTCCTAGTCCACTACCCAACCCCGCGTCTTCAGACGTCGTGCAGTGGCTTCTTCCCCTCCTTTCTTGTCCCCCACCCTCCCCGCACGTTTATTGTATTTTAATCTTGAAAGCTACACCTCCAAATCCCGCGCCAGAGGCCACAGAGGCGCCGGAGCCCGCAGCAGCTAGAGCCGGCCCAGGCGCTGGGGCGCCGGGGTCCCCGATCTCGCGCCAGGGAAACGCCGTGCATTTCCGGGAACTCGCAGCCACCTTTGCAGCCGGTAACTCGGTTGGGTTTGTATTTGCTGTTTTAATACAAACCCCGCCGCACTGCCTGTTTCAAAAAGATGTGCTAATTACTACTTGGATAGCAGGGCGCAAAGTCCTTGTCCATTTCCCAGTACAAAGTAGGTTGCTAGAAAATTTGAAATTGCCTTTCAGCCTAAAGCTGCCTTACCTGAATGTCATAATTACAGTAATTATGTACATCCAAATTACATGCTAATTAAATTAGAATCAAATCGTTCTAAATCGAAATCAAATGAGGTAGTGAAGAATTAATCAATGACAACATAAATAGAGAGCTTCCTTCAGAGATATTTATTGTAACGATCCAAGGAGGGATTTGATCTGAAAAAGTCACCTGTTTATTTACTTTCAAATTAGTAATCAGTTATTATCCCTTCTCCATAATTTTAACCGTTCGGGGTTATTTACCCCCACCCTTTCCAGACGCTGGAGTTTATAGAAATATGTATGAGATAAATACATACAGACATGCCTACCCTATATGTTATTGATATAAATATATACAGTGTGTTTGCAACTCCAGTTAAGGGGAAGGTTTCAGTAGGTCCGTGGAAACATGTTCCGTCAGGGCCTGTTCTCAGGGACCCGGGAAAGATAAACAAGGTTTAAGATTTTCCAAGACCCTTGCACTCATACCAGGGATTTTGCATTGTTTTGCAAACATCTAACCGTTTCAGGGTGATTCATTTATAAAAGAAATGCAAAGTGATGTGTTGTCCCCCCCGCCCCCCCTCCTCGGCAACCCCGATTTGTTTTCTGCTTGCAGATTGCTGGCGAGAGTCAACATTTTCACTTTTGCCCCAGGAGCGAGAGATTAGCAGCGGCGCCCTAAAGCGCCCTCTTCACCTGTGGAGCCGAGAGAGAAATTCGCTCGCTTTCCTAACTAGTGAAGGCAAGTCCGCCCTCTGACCTGCGCAGGCGAAAGGCGCTGGAGGCCGGGCGAGCTTAGGCTGGAACTGGCAGGCGAGGGCGCGTGGCGGCCCGGGAGTGCTGGTCCCCAGGGCGCAGCTCCCGTGGTCCGCAGCCTGGAATTTCTTCTGAGTGGGCCACTGGCAGGGTCGGGAGGGAGGGGGACCCTTGCCGCGAGCTAGCCCGCATACTTCCCCGTTACACTTTGTCGGTGCGGAGTCCAGCGGCCTCCTCGCACGGGAGGCGCATATTCTAGGAGGGAGACGCTCCCCCTAATTCTCAGGCTTTCATCTGGGTTTGAGGTATGTTCAGAAGGTTGCCAGGAGCGCGTCTAGAAGGAAAGCACCACCGTACGCAGGGGTGGAGGCGCCTGTGGGGATGGGAAGGGGCACGCCAGCCCGGGACTCACTCCAGCCCCCTTCCGGCCTCCGGTCTAAGGCGAGGTCCTTGGAAGCCTCGGTCCGGTCGGCACCCAAGCCGCTGGACCTCCACTTCTGACCACCCCCTCGGGAGGACCTTCGAACCGAAAGGACTGGGTTTTTTCCGTGCCTACGAGTCGCGGAAAGGCGACTCACGGGCAATTTAGGCCAGAGTGTGCGTTTTCCATGACAAGCCGTTCCTGCGTTTCACCCCACACCTCGCTTCATTATTACTGTTAGATTCTGAGGGTGATGTTAAGTGTGGCGTGAAGGGAGGAGAAAGGGGGAAGGGCATGAGGATCTGCTTCCTTTTCTGTCAGCAG